TAACGCACTATACATATCTACATTTGTTTAACCATGATGGTTATGCAAGCATCAGTTTTAACACATCCTTTTGATAGTTCTATTACAGAAGTGGCCCAACCTGGTATTCATCTTACGCAGCTTGTTCCTCCGGCCATAATCAAAGGTTTTTCTTGAAGAGCACGATTGACAGCTGCGCTAGGTGGGAGGCCAAGCAGGGATTGGTACCTACTCCCTCAGAAAGAACTGCGTTATGTGCGTGAACCCCACCCGAAGGGCTCTTTGGTCGTAGGCTGAGGTGTTGATGCCCACAGGGCAGGTTTTTCATTTACCTCATCACCTAGAGACTCGGGTTTCAAATGATAAACCCTTCCACGCCATCCCTCTATACCTGCTGTCAAACAGTAGATGATTAATTCTTACTGTAGGAAGAATACTTTATTCACAGATGTCACAAAACATCATGGCATATGTAAATGTCTGTGTGTCCTAAAAAAGAAAAGTTCTTTTTATTACATCTAGTTTTAGTATACAGTGTTTTAAAGCTCTTGAAAGAGCAGTGTTCTTTAGAATATAAAAGAATGACATCGTGATGGTGTAAATACAAAATATTCTTAGCTCATATTTGATTTTACTATAGAATCTAGATTGATAGACCACTTATTTATCTGGTCTAGTCTAAAACTTTTGTTTAACTTTGTCTCTTTCTCAAAGCGGCGTGGTGTCCCTGTTGCAATGAAAGGCCTTTATAAAATAGAGAGATTGAAATCAGTCGCTTTTGTATGCTAAGTGTAAGGTAACTTATACTTTAAAGAGATTGCTTTGTTTGCTTTGTTTGGCTTGTTTACTTTTTTTTCCCTTTTTTTTTTTTTTTTTTTTTTTTTTTTTTTTTAATTTTAAGGAAAAGGCAGTTTATGATAGGGATTTCAGGACTTTTAAAATTGTTTTATTTTGCTATCTTCCGTGGTTTAAAAAAAAAAAATACTCATGCTTTATCTTCATACGTACATATCTAAGTACCTACTAGGGGTGTAATAAGCATATACATATCTAATTTTACACATGATGGTATGCAATCAGTTTTAACACATCCTTTTGATAGTTCTTTAGAAAGTGGCACTTGGTACTTCATCTACCAGCTTGTTCTCTGCCATAATCAAGGTTTTTCTTGAAGAGCACGATTGACAGCTGCCTAGGTGGGAGGCAGCAGGGATGGTACCTACTCCCTCAGAAAGAACTGCGTTATGTGCAGTGACCTCACCGAAGGGCTCTTGGTGGTAGCTGAGTGTTGATGCCACAGCAGAGTCTTTTCATTTACCATCTCATCACTAGACTGGGGTTTCAGATGATAAACCCTTCACCCATCCTTTACCTGCTTGTCAAACAGTAAGAGATTATTCTTGCTGTAGCGAAGAATACTTTATTCACAGATGTCAAAAACATCAGTGCATAATGTAAATGTTCTGTGTGTCCCTAAAAAGTTCTTTTTATACCATTAGTTTTAGTATTGACAGTGTTTTAAAGCTTTGAAAGAGCAGTGTTCTTTTAGAAACTTAAAAGAATGACATCTGTGATGAGTGTAAACTAAAATATTGTCTTAGCCATATTTGATTTTACTATAGCATCTAAGATTGGATAGACACTTGATTTATCTGGTCTGTCATATAAACTTTTTTTTGAGTTTAACTTTGGTCTCTTTCTCAAGCGCTGGCTGTCTGTTGCAATGAAAGCCTTTTATAAAATAGAGAGATTGAAATCAGTCCTTTTGTATGCATAAGTGTAGGTAATTATACTTTAAAGAGAACTTGCTTTGTACATTTTAATTTTTATAAAGAAACGAGCAGTTATCTCCCTGACACCTTATTAAATGTATAATTAACCTTATGATCCCTAGCTCACTTGTGAATGCTTGGCAGTATAATTGGAGAGGAATAGTGTTTCTTTTTTTCCTCTTTCTTTGCAGTCCTAAACCTTATTCTGTGGTTGTTGAAGCATTAGTTTAATTTTTCCCTTTTCTTTTTAAACAAACTTTATACTTGCAATGCCAAGGACAGCATTTAGTAAAGCTTGGCATAGCTTACACTTGTTTTCTTTTTTCTTGCCTTAAAAAATAATAGTCGACTATTAGGCCTTCCTGTTGGTAATAATACACTACTGTATTATTGTGAACTTTCTTAATTGGAAATATTCAGTTTGATCCGCTTGTTTATCAGAAACCTTCACTTACTGAATAATGTTTTAATTTTTAGAGATGTGGTGCAATTGCTGAACAAACCTCGATTTTGTTGGTGTTCTTCCTTAGGAATTCTGGGAAACGAGGAAAGGTACTCTGCTTTACTTGCTAACAAATCAACGATACTGCACGTGCCTTGCTCAGAAGTATTGAATTTAACATAAAAGCCTATTGGTTCAGGACCTTATTTGAGAATACTGTAGAGATTCAAGACTTTTCTTGTCTTTACTTACTTACTTTTAGAAGATGTTGATAGAGTCAGTTTTGTCATCTTTTAGCTGTAACTAGAAATGTAAAACAAGTTCATGCAGGAATTTTCCACTTACATAGTTATGCATTGAGAGCTCCAAGAAAAGGCCCTTAAAAACGCAAGATTAGGCCAGGCATGGTGGCTCACACCTGTAATCCCAGCACTTTGGGAGGCCGAGGTGGGTGGATCACTTGAGACCAGCCTGGCGAAACCTTGTCTTTACTTTAAAAAAAAAAAAAAAAGGAAGATTAAAATTACATTGCTTAGGTCACCTTGGGACAGTTAACAATGCAGAAGCACTGCCAAAGGAAATGTATACTCCAGAGTGTCTCCCAGCACGTGGCTACTTTTGAGCATTTATCAGGTGTAAACCATCAGGTAAATGAGCCACTTGGCTTTCAAATTGATATGGAGCCACAAATATTCTAATTTGTACAGTTACTTTTTTTTTTTTTACACTGTATAAGGAAGGGGTGGGTGAGTGTGTAACAGAACCAAGTCCTTTTGAAAAATTTATTATTATTGTAAAAAGTTTCTGTGGGCACATAGTAGGTATATTAAATTCTATTGATGTTTAACAGTAAGTATAAAATTAAATTTCTCTTAGATCTCATTTTACCTCTTGTACACCAGAAACTACATTCTTAGTTTATTTGGGTTCTTTATGAAGTTTCAAACCACATGCCGACTGTGATGCTTGTTTTATTTGAAACATTTAGGCTGTGTCCATTTTGGGAGATCTACGTTTTCCTTAATTTCTACACACTTCCCCTAAATATACCTACACTTTTTAAAAATTTGCTTCATTGCATCTATGACTCATGTATTTATTTACTATAAACAACTTTTAGAAAGTATTTAATTGCCCTTTCTTTCCTGTCAGAGGCTACGTTTTTATATTTGTGATTAAAAAGTACAAGGAATCTGAAAAGCACTTGTCAGTCCACATTTGGGATTGTGCCAAGTCCCTGTTCCCTTGTCCAGGAGATGGGACGGGAAGTGCACAGCAACGTATCTGCTTAGAACATTCCACCCAGGAGAGTTTAAAATAGAAGAAGCCCTGGGAGGATGCAGGTCCAGGTGTGGACTGAATAAACATGCTATAAAAAGGAGTTAGGATTTTTAAGATGCCTGTTAACAGTGTTCCATTGTTTGACAGTAAAATAGTTAAGCCAGATTTTGCTCCTCTTGGTGAGATAGGAAGAAGGCATAAATGTTTATATGTCCATCATGGATTTATCCGGTGATGTTGGAGTAGGGTGGGAAATACTCAGCAGATATTCATTAGGGCATAGCAGTTCTGTATTCACTTGCTACAGGAAATAAAATCATAGCTGAGTCTGCTTATTCCCTGGAAGAAATAAGTAAAAATTTCAGTGAGATCCTGGAAATACTCTTTTTTGTATGTCAAGTGGGTAAAACTTCAGAATGTTTTAACTGAATTCTTTACAATTTCATCAACCAGTTGTGGCACCTAAAGATAGGGTTATCTCTCTACCCTTGGGAATCTTATAACTTCTTGGTATGGTATGGTCACCACTTGACAAAAGAAGCAATGTTTTTCATATTCTAGGAAAATATTTGTAGAAATGTAAGTGGAATTGCATTAACTGTGAAAAATGCTGGTTTGTTTTAGCTGTAGATTATTGAGTCAATATCAAATGCTAATATACAAGGGACAATAGTCCATTAAATTGAATAGGCAGTTCTGTTATAATTATTGTGAAAAATTTTAATATAGGGTTGATTTGTCAGTGTTCTATTTCACTGTTAATTTGAGGTTTTGGTAATATTACCTTTATTTAATTTCCTAGGCATCAACTCTGAAATCTCTGTTAGAATTGATTCCTGAATTAAACGAAAAGGAAGAAGCATATAGTTCCCTCATGAAAAGCTATGGTAATATAAGTTTAATTTGACTATATTATTAGATTATTTAAATGGCTTTATTAAGTGACTATATTATGTAAATGACTTGTAGTATAGTCAACTAAGTCAGTCTTCAGCTCAAAGGCAGTAATCCTAAATATCAGATAATTATGATATAAATAACTCAGTGCTGGAATATGTTTTTAAACCATATATTAAGAAAAATATGAAATTATGCATATAACTTTAACATTAAAAAGTATTACTGAACATCTTCCGAGCAGTCCAGGTATATTGAGTAGAATCCCAGTCTCCTGGAAAGACCTAGAAATCCTCTTGGACTTATATATGAGAAACTAGTTCAGTCTCCCCAAGGGCCTGCCACCTGAAACAAGCAGAAATTTGAGACTCACTTAACCGGCCTTCTTGCTCCTTCAGTACCCTCTCTGCTTGCCTGCTACTCCTTTGAAATGATAGACCCTTGATTAAAAAGTAGCCCAAGGTTTTTACGTCCCAGTTCAAATTCTGGTCTTTTAACCAGTTTGTTCCCTGATTGCCAGACAATCACATATGAAAGGAAACTAGTCTAAAGTTTCCTCAGTCATCAAAATAAATGTTAGCGTTTCTCAATCATGATCGCCTCTCCATCTGTTGCCCACTGATTTGCTCACTGGAGGCATGGGGTAAATAATTGCTTCATTGATTTTATCTATGGGAGGACAACAGACTCAGGAGTCAGAATTAGTAAGTCAGTTCTCTTTTTCTATACTTCTGAGGAGAACATTCTGTATTTCAAAATAGAGATATAGTCATAAAATTTCTCAAATTTCCAGTAACTAACCACAGGCATACCTGGAAGATATGGTTCCAGACCACCACATTAAAGCAAAAATATAATGAACAAAGTGAGTTACATGAATTTTTTGGTTTCCCAGTGCATATAAAAGTTACATTTACACGATAGTGTAGTGTATTAAGTGTGCAATAGCGTTATGTTTTTTAAAAATACATACCTTAATTTAAAATACTTTATTGCTAAAAATAGTTAACAATCATCTGAGCCTTCAGTGAGTCGTAATCTTGCTGGTAGAAGGTCTCGCCTTAATGCTGATGGCTGAAGGTTGAGGTGTCTTAAAATAAGACAACAATAAAGTTCGCCACATCAACTGACTTTTCCTTTCATGAAAGATTTCTCTGTACTATGCGATGTTGTTTGTTAACATTTATCTGCAGTTGAACATCTTTTCAAAATTGCAGTCAGTCTTCTCAAACCATACAATTGCTTTATTAACTAAATGTATGCGATACTCTAAATCCTTTGTTGTCATCTAAACAGTGTTCACGGCATCTTCACCAAGAGTAGATTCCTTCTCAAGAAACCACTTTCTTTGCTCATCCGTAGGAAACAGCTTCTCATCATGTTAAGTTTGATCATGAAATTGCAGCAGTTCAGTCACATCTTCAGGCTCCACTTCTCCTTCTAGTTGTCTTGCTATTTCCACCACATCTGCAGTGATTTCCTCCACAGAGATCTTGAGACCCTCGAAGGGGTTCATCCACGAGGGTTGGAGTCAGCTTCTCCCAAACTCCTGTTAACAAATGTTCTTAATGGCATCTAGAATGGTGAACCTTTCCCAGAGGGTTTTCAGTTTACTTTGCCCAGATCCATCAGAAGAATCACTGTCTGTGTCAGCTATAGCCTTATGAAACATGTTTGTTTTTGTTTTAAATTTATTTTTAAAACATGGAATGCTTTACACATTTGCATGCCATCTTTGTGCGGGGGCCATGCTAATCTTCTCTGTATCATTCCAATTTTAGTGCATGTGTTGCCGAAGTGAGCCCAAAATGTATAAGACTTGAAAGTCTAGATTACTCCTTGATCTATGGGCTGCAGAATGGATGTTGTATGAGGGCACCTGAGAACATTAATCTCCCTGTATATCTACTTCAGAGCTCTTGGGTGACCAGGTGCATTATCACTGAGCAGTAATATTTTGAAAGGAATCTTTTTTTTCCTGAGCAGTAGGTCTCTACAGCAGGCTTTAAATACTCAGTAAACCATGTATAAACATCAGTGCTGTCCTCCAGGCTTTGTTGTTCCATTTATAGAACACAGACAGAATAAATTTAGCATAATTCTTAAGGGCCCTAGGATTTGGGAATGGTAAGTGAGCACTGGCTTCAACTTAAAGTCACCAGCTGCATTAGCCATTGAAAATAGAGTCAACCTGTCCTTTGAAGCCAAGCATTGGCTTTTCCTCTCTAGCTATGAAAGTCTTAGATGACATCTTCTAATATAAGACTGTTTTATCTACATTGTGTATCTGTCATTCGGTGTAGCCGCCTTCATCAGTGGTCTTAGCTAGATTTTCTGGATAACCTGCTGTAGCTTCTGCATCAGCATTTGCTGCTTCACCTTGGACTTTTATGTCATAGAGATGGCTTCTCTCCTTAAACCTCAAGAACCAGCCTCTGCTAGCTTCAGACTTTCCTTTTATAACTTCTTCACCTCTCTCAGCCTTCATAGAATTGAAGAGTGTTAGGGCCTTGCACTGGATTAGGCTTTGGTTTTTAAGGCAATGTTGAGGCTGGTTTGATCTTATATCCAGACCAATAAAACTTTCTCCATTTCAGCAGTAAGGCTGTGTCAGTTTCTTATCATTTGTGTGTTCAGTGGAGTAGCACTTTTAATTTCCTTCAAGGACTTTTCCTTTGCATTCACAACTGGCTGTTCCACGCAAGAAGCCTCGCTTCCAGCCTATCTCAGCTTTTGACATGCCTTCCTCAGTAAGCTAAGCTTAATCATTTCTCACTTTTGATTTAAAATGAGAGATGTGTGACTCTTCCTTTCACTTGAACACTTAGAGGCTATTATAGTTTTTAATTGGCCTAATTTCAATATTGTTGTGTCTCAGAGAATAGGGAGGCCTGAGGAGAGGAAGACGGCAGAACTGCTAGTCAACATCGCAGTCAGAACACATTTCTCACGTTTGCCGCCTTCGTGTGCATGGTTCATAGCACCCCCCAAACAATTACAGTAGCAACATCAAAGATCACTGGTCACAGATCACCATAACAGATATAACAATAATAAGTTTGAAATATTCCAAGAATTACCAGAGTGTGACACGGAGACACAAAGCAAGCACGTACTGTTGGAAAAATGGCATGAATAGACTTGCTCAAGGCAGAGTTACCACAAACCTTCAATTTGTAAATAACGCAACATCTGTAAAGTGCATTAAAGCCAAGGTATGCCTGTAATGTAAAATCGTGTCAAATGCCTAAAACTATATGTGTTACTACTAAATTAGGTAATCCGTCTTGGGAGGAAGGTAGAAAAATCAGGAAGTAAAGAAAGGCAAGTTGCTGGAATTTTCAGAGCAGCTTCCTAGAAGATAGAGCTTGAGCCCTTGATAGTAGTAGGGAAAGGGTTCAGCTCCTTAGGGAGGGGAATAAAGGATTTACACAAGAAGTTGACTTCATGGAAACAGCAAAGATGTGTTCCAACTCCTCTAAGAGCTGATGAGTCATTCACCCTCATTCCACTCTGGGAGACTCTGATTGCTGAACTTCTCATATCCACGTTAGGGGGATCCCCTGGTGCTGCTGGAGTTGCGATTGACAATATCAGAGTCAGCGTAGGGCAAGGGTTTATTTGGTGGTTAGATGCTAACAATCTAATGCAAAATTAAAGAGTTGAATTACCAGCAGTAATTGTTAGCAGAGACCTTACGATCTCGATGGTAAACTAAAAAATTTCCACAAGTCAGCCACAAGTAGACAGCCAGCCAAATTTGGCTCCTAAGTTATTTTATCATTCACTTAAGTGAAACTAGTGTAACTTGTTAATGTCTTCTTATAGGTTTTTATTTTTTTTTTTGAGACGGAGTCTTGCTCTGTCACCCAGGCTGGAGTGCAGTGGCACGATCTCGGCTCACTGCAAGCTCCACCTCCCAGGTTCACGCCATTCTCCTGCCTCAGCCTCCCGAGTAACTGGGACTACAGGTGCCCGCCACCATGCCCAGCTAATTTTTTGTATTTTTAGTAGAGACGGGGTTTCACCGTGTTAACCAGGATGGTCTTGATCTCCTGACCTCGTGATCTGCCCACCGTGGCCTCCCAAAGTGCTGGGATTACAGGCGTGAGCCACCGCGCCCGGCCTGTAGGTTTTTTTTGTGTGTATCACTGTAGCTAACTATATTCTCCATATTTATTTCACAATAGAAAAATGAAAAACTTTTTTGGTGTTGAGCTGATGATCTTGATGTAGATTTCTCCATAATTGACATGTCCCTCTCCACAACAGTTCCTGGATTATCTTGATTTCAAAGTGGTTTTAAGCCAAAGGGGATTGAATGGTAGGTGTGTGTATTATTTTATAACTGAGGACTTCAGTTTGTGGTCACTTGAACTATCATAGGTCTTCAAAATAATAACCTAAGTGAATGGTACCATTAATATTATTCTAAAGGCCTTTAAATGTAGCCATATTTGTCATTTTCTTCTCCTTCAGAGTGAGTGATGCTGAATGAGAGATGTAGAGAAGTAGTGAGGGAGATGGTAGATTCTGAGCATGGCTTCTTACTGAAGGTAGTTAAGTGTTCATTTGCCATGGGATGAAGGGATCCAGCCATCCCTGAGTGGCTACGTGTTTTGGTGAAAAGAGTAAGATAGGTTGTCTTTATCTCTGATTAATATAGTTTTTTCTTTGTCAGCCTCAGAGAAAGATGTCACATCTGCTAAAGCACTGTATGAACATTTGACTGCAAAGAATACAAAATTGGATGATCTGTTTCTCAAGCGTTACGCAGTTTTGCTGAAGAATGCTGGAGAGTCTGTCCCTTTCACTGAACCCCCTGTGAGTATTTCTTAATTAAAGGGAAAAAATACCTCTACAGATTTATGTACGCTTCATAACAATGTATAAGAAAATAAGTTGAAGACTTAATTACATGAGGATTAGATCTCTGTGAAGAACCCTCAGGGGATGGCTGGAGGGACTGAGCAGCGTGCCTTGGCTGCAGCAGTGGGAGAACATAGCTCTCTAGGGCCACAGTTTAAAATACAAGGTCTGTCTCAGACCTTCAGCTATAGGCATGGATTTACCAAATGTCCTTGGGGCAGTTCTATCATTTCAACTTGAAATAGGATTTAATGGCCTGTAGTTCAACAGCCAAGCATATTATGTCACTGGTAATTACTTGTTCATTTACATAAGTTGGTTTTTATTTCTTCATGTAGGAAAGTTTTTTTTTTGGAAACGGAGTCTTGCTCTGTCGCGCAGGCTGGAGTGCAATGGCGCGGTCTCGGCTCACTGCAAGCTCCACCTCCCGGGTTCAAGCGATTCTCCTGCCTCAGCCTCCCAAGTAGCTAGGATTACAGGGGCCCGCCACCATGCCTGGCAAATTTTTATATTTTTAGTAGATATGGGGTTTCACCATGTTGACCATGCTGGTCTTGAACTGCTGACCTTGTGATCCACCCACCTTGGCCTCCCAAAGTGCTGGGATTACAGGCGTGAGCCACCGCACCCGGCCTGTTTTCTTTAATAAGAGAAATCACATATGCACAATTCCTTTTTGTTGCATCATTGAACTGAAAGTCACTACACCATGTTTATTTCGAACACCTCAGCCTTCCATACCCAGGTGTAAATACCTCCATATGTGCACGTACACACATGCTTGCACATACACACGTACCCTAACTCCTGCTAACTTTGACTCTGAACCCAAGGCCCTTGAACTTGTGATTTAATGAAACAAGAAGGTGTGCTAAAGCTTGAGGGGCAGCATTTCTATGGGCCTGGCCGTCTTAGCTACCAGTTGGTAGTGTTTATGATTTTTTTAAGTTTTGTACCATCACCTCTTGCTGGTAGCTTTATCTCTAACTTCCCTCTTTTTTTCTCCTTAACAGGAAAGCTTTGAATTTTATGTACAGCAGGTAAAAGAATTGAGGGAAAATTCTTCCTGAAAAAGCAGGCGATACTTTGTTTTGTATATATTTGTGATTCTGTGTCTACATGTTATTTTGAAGTGTATTTGAAGGGAAAAATAAATGAAAATTTTCTTTATGTGTGACACATGTTCAAAATCTTATTGACCATAACTGTGCGCTTGGTTATTGGACATTTTTGGAGGTTTTTTCCTCTGGCATAAATTGATAGCATTTTCCTCAGTGCTGCTGCTGTGGGAAGCCATACTTTTTCAAGATTCTTCCCCTAATTGGCTCTTTGGTTTCCCTGCTCTGTTTATTTCATTAAAATGTTATTCCTTTATTTAAGACTCACTTATTAGTCTGCTGTTTCTCTGAAAAATTTTAGAGCTAAGTATAGTGATCGTGAACTTTCTATTGCATAATATTCTGCAATATAACAATTCCTTACGTGTGTGAAGTCCTGCATAACTTTCAAATTTCATTAAATGTTGGCACTAGGAGTCATCAGATCTAGCCTTCATCATTTTCCAGTGAGAAGCAGAGACCCAAAGGGCCTGTCACTTGTGCTTGTTCAGGGGGCTGTCTGTCATGCCTGGAGGCTCTTCGGCATACTTCCCCCTCTTTCCCTTCTGCCACCGTGGCTTCCAAGCACCTCTGTTCATAGAACGTCTCTGAAATTAAGTCTTGGTCATGACTTATCCCAAAGTAGAGCGATGTGTTTCCTCTCATTTTAGTTTCAGGACTTTGTCAGCACAAGCTCTGCCCTAGGCTTGTTACTTTATACTCATATCCTGAAAAGATGTGGCTTCATCTATGAAGGGGCAAAATACTGGTTTGTGTTTAATTTTTTGAAATAAAAGTTATCCCTGTATTGACTCTCATGCCTGTTAATATCTACACTGTAAATAGTGACTTCAAAAAAAATTCTAAGATAGGTAGTCAAGAGAGTTTGCCATTATAAAACATGTCTTAATATGGAATATCGACCTAACTGGAGATAAGGTAATTAATTACCAAAATGTTGAAAATGTTTTGAGAACTCTTCCGATTTTGGGGTATTCCTTGTTCATTTGAATTTGGTGAGTCCCTGCTGTTCAGTTTCAATGCCAACTTGGGTCACACTGTTCACATCAGGGGAGACCTTGCCTTGGGGACATAGGCAGGCTGCTTGCAACTTGTGCTGTTGACCTTCTGTCTTGTGGGACTCTCTCTCCTGCATCTGCTACCTGCCCGCAGATGGTGTGAGAGGGAGGGTTGATGGCAGGAAGCCAGAAAGTAAATGTCGTCATGGTATTAGCCAGGCTTTTACTTCAACTCTTTTTATGGCCTTAGATTTAAGGAAGCAGGGGGCGTGGCCAATGTTGAGTCTTGGCCCAGTGGACATAGTGCCTTGAGCACTGCCCAGGTGCAGGACCTGCACATGTTACAGGTTTGCCAAGTGTCTTTTTTTTTTTTTCTTTTTTGAGATAGAGTCTTGCTCTGTTGCTCAAGCCAAAGTGCAGTGGTGCAATCTCAGCTCACTGCAATCTCCGCCTCCCGAGTTCAAGTGATTCTCGTGCCTCAGCCTCCCAAGTAGCTGGGATTACAGGCGTGCGCCACCATACTCAGCTAATTTTTGTATAGTAAAGATGGAGTTTCACCATGTTGGCCAGGTTGGTCTCGAACTCCTGGCCTCAAGTGATCCTCCCCCTGCCCTCGCTTCAGCCTCCCAAAGTACTGGTATTACACACCTGGCCAAGAGCCTCACTCCTGTGTACATCTTTAGTGATTGCACTGAAGTAGGCCTTATTTTTTGCAGTCATGCTAACGACAAGTTAGTCAACATTCACTAATTGACATTAAAATAGGTCTCCAAGGTGAGGCATAACCTTGGGGTGTAATCTGGATTTCACAATCTTTGGGGAAACTGAAAGTACCATCTCATGTGCATGAAGTGACTCCACACTGACCCTGTACGTTGACTCTGGTAAAATGTGAGTGTAATACAGAGGAAATAGGTAAGACCCCCTTATCTAGAACTCTAAACAGCAGCGGGGGGTGTTACAAAGGACTAGCTATTCAGATATCTTTTGCACTGTATTGGTTCCCCTATTGAACATAAATATTTAAAGTATAATAACTGTATACTGTAGGTGGGCTTTTGAGTGTTCTAAATATCTAATAGCTAAATTGAAATAAGTAGAAATATAAACAAAATTTAGCAGCTTTCTGTAATACATTTACACTCAAATTATAAGCAGCTAATTCTAAAAAGATGTCATTATAAACTATTGAAAACTATAGTATTTTATATATAATTATATGTTCATGTATTTGAACGCAATATAATTTTAACTGAAATGCTTTGAATAAAGTATACTCTAAATGTGGGCTGCTGCTTTTTTTTTTTTTAAATAGTCTCACTCTGTGGCCCAGCCTGGAGAGCAGTGGCATGATCACAGCTCACTGCAGTGTTGACCTCCCAGGCTCAGGTGATCCTCCCACCTCAGATTCCCAAGTAACTGGGGCTACAGGTGCATGCCACCACAGCCAGCTAATGTTTTGTATTAATTTGAATAAACGGGGTTTTGTCCAGTTACCCAGGTTGGTCGTGAACTTATGGGCTCAAGAAATTCACCCACCTCAGCCTCCCAAAATGTTGACATTACAGGCATGAGGTCCTGCACCCAACTGGCACCTTCGTTTTTATCTTATCAAATGTTTGCACAAGTACTTTAAGCCATTTCAAAAGACTTAAGTCTTAGAATTATAAATTAAAACCGAGGCGGGGACCTCTGTTAGGACCAGAATTTCCTTGTTAAATGGCCTGTAGGTTGTATGTGGACAACCAACAAAGTCACTGCTTATCTGTTTTAAGGACAAGCAGATAATTTGAGACCTCTGTGGGACAAAGTTGGCAAAAATTAGAAGGTAGAGTAAATTGACACCTAAAATGAAGGAGGTTCTATCTATCAGAACATTTTACGTCCCCATAGATGGCTGGGGCCCACCCACCTCATGGACAGGCCGCCTTCAGCACCTGCACCCTTTTTTGAGAATGCTGAGATCACCATCAGTGTCACCTCTGCCTCTTGGGCCCCTCACCCAACATACTGTTCCCTTTCCAGGTCTTCCACAGCTGCTTGAGCAGAGCAGGTATCACACATACTGTCTTACTGTCTTCCACACAGATTCTGAACTTCGCAAGGACCAGTTTTTGGTCTCGTTGCGTGTCCCCAGACCTAGCATAATCCTGTCACAGTAAATCAAGCTGTCTGTAGTCAGTTCTGTGGGTTCTAAACTCTGCACCTACTACTATGGGTCAGGCTGCCCTTTTGCAATGAGAATTCACCATGAGAAACCTAGGCTTACAGCAGTGAATTTGCCCAGAATCAACTTGATAAGTCGCATGGCTAGGACTCTAACTAAAATCATTTACTTCCTATTAGAATACAAAATGAAAGCAATCCGGTTTAAAGTCAGTTAAAAGTCAAATTGGAATTGAAACTATAAGAATATTCTGCATTAAAAAAAAAAAAAAAAAGCCTTCACATTCACATTAATACAAGTGCTCCCAGTTTCCAGACACCTCACACTGTAAGCCTGTTTTCTTCTATTTAATCAAATATCCAGTGCCCGGCATAATCGCTGAGTTTACGAGTTCCAGTAAATTATTAAGCAAGCTTTGTATTGCAAATTGTTCTCGGGACAATTTCTGTCTCAAGTCTGCAATGTGTGTACTCTGCATACTTTTTCTCATGTCCTTCAGCGTAATTTTCATTTAATATTTGTCTTTCTGATGAACGAATATTTATAGAATTTCTATAACTGAAAGCAACATTCCTGAAGGAGGGCTGAACTAATAGCTGCAGGGAGTACAAAATCACGATAATTTACCGCTCTGCTGTTGTACAATCATGCATGGGAGTGTTTCCATTAGAAATGTATCCTGCTTTCAGGCCGACAGACTTTACAAAGCCCACATTATGCAGCCTTAGTACAAATAAAGAAGCTGCATTAGCAAATCAAAGATAGGCACTTATCTTTTTCTTTTCTGCATGGAGGGGGAAAAAAAAAAAACAACCCAAAACATCAGGTCCAGGTAAAGCAAAAGTATTCGACCAGCTTCAGTCTTCCTGCCCTTGCAGTTGTTTGGACAATGGTTGGCTGTTGAGATCTATCCTCAGAGTTCTCTAAAGTCGTATCTTGTTCTTTTGTTTTGTTTTGTTTTTTGTTTTTTGAGACGGAATATCTCACTGTTGCCCAGACTAGGGTGCAATGGAATGATCTCAGCTCACTGCAACCTCCGCCTCCCGGGTTCAAGCTATTCTCATGTCTCAGCCTCCCAAGTAGCTGGGATTACAGGCACCCACCACCACGCCTGGCTAATTTTTGTATTTTTAGTAGAGACAGGTTTTTGCCATGTTGGTCAGGTTGGTCTCGAACTCCCGACCTCAGGTGATTGCCCGCTCGGCCTCCCAAAGTGCTAGGATTATAGGCGTGAGCCACCATGATGAAGTAGCGTCTTTACCAACCCAGGCCTGGATGTGCACTTGCTGTAACATTCCCATTATTTGCTTGTTTTTTTGTTTCCTCCCTGAGGAGGTGAGCTCTTCCAGCACTCTGCAGACCTGCCAATTAGCAGAGCTTGGCATGTTGGGCACCCGGTAGGCACCGCTGAATGAATCAATCAATGGGCACACCACCATGTCCTTCCGCTTTCCAAGTCGTGTTCCTTCTGAGATGGATGGTTTGTGTGCTTCGGAGGGTTTCCTCCCACATGGTGGTCTTACAGGATTTCTAGTCAACTTGGTAGCTCAGAGTTAGGACACTGGGAGTTGAGGCCCAAGGAGTCCTTCACAACCCGAGTGCCCACATAAAAATATTTTCAAGTTTACTGTCAAGAAGAGGAGGCCTGTGAAAGTCAGACAAATTCAAGCCGAGTCCAAGCACAGTGCAGGGTTTCTATACAATAGTGGAATAATGGAATCAACAAAAATAAAGCTTTTCATTTTGAGATGGAGTTTCACTCCTGTTGCCAAGGTGGAGTACAGTGGTGTGATCTCGGCTCACTGCAACCTCCATCTCCCAAGTTCAAGCGATTCTCCTGCCTCAGCCTCCCAAGTAGCTGGGATTACAGGCATGTGCCACCAGACTTGGCTAATTTTTGTATTTTTAGTAGAGACAGGGTTTCGCCATGTTGGTCAGGAACTCCTGACCTCAGGTGATTCACCCACCTTAGCCTCCCAAAGTGCTGGGGTTACAGGCATGAACTTTTTTTTCTTTTTTTCTTTTTTTTTTTTTTTTTGAGAGAGTCTTGCTCTGTTGCCTAGGCTGGAGTACAATGGCACGATTTTGGCTCACTGCAACTTCCACCTCCCGGGTTCCAGTGATTCTGCTGCCTCAGCCTCCTAAGTAGCTGGGACTACAGGCACTTGCCACTGTGCCTGGCTAATTCTGTATTTGGAATAGAGATCACTATATTGCCCAGGCTGGTCTTGAACTCCTGACCTCAAGTGATCCACCCGCTTCAGCCTCCCAAAGTGCTGGGATTACAGGTGTGAGCCACTGCGCCTGGCCGAAAGAGCTTTATTTTTTTAGCATGGGTCAGTAGAGCTTATTAGCAGTTTGGGGGAAACAAGAGTATTTCCAATTTTAAAGAGAAAAGACAATCATACAAATGATGTGAGCACTATTCCATAGAAAGCAGAGAAGTGTTTTTGAGTTGGTATGTGTTTGAAAATCTCAACCCACTGCTTAGACATTATTGTTTTAATTATTAGCTGCTAACACCACATGTGCTGCTCTTCCTAGAGCACCAGCAGAAAATGGGCTATGCTCCATCTGCCTGCCTGCCTACCCTGCTGAAGCTGCCTCAGGCAGAGCTCATGTGATAAAGACAGGGGATGTTGCTCTGTACCCAGGCCACTCTAAATCAAGAACAAATCATTATCAAGTATAAATGACAGATGATTTGCAATCTGAATTATCTAGTGCAGACTATTTGCAAATAAAGATGTCTGTTGTCTCTCAGATGTGAGCATTGGATATATTTTGCAAACAAGTAAAGGCCAACCAACAAAATATTTCATCACTTTCCCTGCATTCCAGTCCCTTGCACGCTTCCTCAGGGCCCGGTTAGTGCTGCAGACCCCAAGGCCAGTCGGGCCAAAGGAAAGTGGTTTGTATGCTGTGCTAAGCCACTATGTAGAACCCCCGGTCCCAGGTCTGTTAACATGTGGATTTGACAGATTTAAACATTTCTGTTGCTAGTTGTTTAATTTGGGATGAAGACAAGAATTGAAGAGAAGTAGAAAAAAACAAAAGCAAATGCAAGATCTACCTTTGTAGACTGGTTTAACCCAGGGCAAGATTACATCTTATATACTATTTATAGGAACAAGAGCAGATTTAAAAAAAAAAATCAGGAAATATTTGAGCCAGTATTGATTATTTTCTGTTTAATTAAAATTCCCCACCAATAGCATAACTTGAAATTGGAGGGCTTAAAATGCAAATTTGAAAACCTTTACCAAGGCTCTGCAAACTACAGCCTCAGGTCAAATCTAGCAACATGCCCATTTTTGTAAATAATATTTTCTTAGAAGACAGCCACACCAGCTGTACGTTACTATAGTCCACAGCTGCTCTCACACTGTAACACCAGAGTTAAGTAATTGCAGCAGAGCCTATATGGCCCACAAAGTCCCAAACATTTACTATCTGACTTAACAGGAAAACTTTGCAAGCCATGCTTTCAGTAATGACAAACAAATCTCTACCCTTTTGCAATGCAGGGCAGGGCTCGCTAAACAGCATGCGTGCCTTGAGAGCCTTGGGTGTTTTTTGGTTTTTTTGTTTGTTTGTTTGTTTTGAGACAGAGTCACTCTGTCACCAGGCTGGAGTGCAGTGGCTCAATCTCAGCTCACTGCAGAGGCTCTGCCTCCCGGATTCAAGCGATTCTCCTGCCTCAACAGCCTATAGCTGGGACTACAAGCACACACCACCACGCCCAGCTAATTTTTGTATTTTTAGTAGAGACAGGGTTTTGCCATGTTGGCCAGGATGGTCTCGATCTCCTGACCTTGTGATCTGCCTACCTCGGCCTCCCAGACTGCTGGGATTACAGGTGTGAGCCACCGCACCCGGCTGAGCCTTGGTTCTTTGTTTCCCTGGCCTCACAATGCCTTGAAGAGCATTTTAAACAAAACAGACCCATGGGATCAGAATCTCTGGGCAATGGGTCCACATTGGCCTTGTTAAAGCTCCAGCATGGGCAACCAGGGTGGAGCACCACCGCTGTAGAAAAAACACAAATAAATGTCAGCTGCTGTAGTTTCTCCATCTCTCTTGCCTTTGCACTTTGCCCTTTTCCCCTGCAGCCCGGCAGACAGAGCCACTGGGTTACCAAAGCCGTTTGAAGACTGAATAGTGAACTTACAAAGTCAGGTGATGTATCTTAGTGGCTGTCAATCACTGCACATTAGAATTACCTGGGGGAGTTAAGGAACGATACCAATGTCCTCTTCATCCTTCCCCTTCTTCAGTCAGGCCTAACGTCATTAGGGGACCACAGTGACAGGGAGGTGGGGGGAAGCTGTGGTGGGCCAGGGGAGGGTGAAGGAGACAGCTGCAGACTCAGGGAAAGCTGAACATGGGAGTTGGAGCCTGAGCAGGGTAGGCAGGATGTCCACACAGGGCAAAGCGTGGCAGTGTAGATGGGAGATCACTTACATGCAGGCGGTTAATCAAATGAGTAAATAACCTAAGGGTAATGGAGGCCAGGTTTCTCACAATTAGAGAAGAGGGAAGAACCAAGGATCAGCTCTGTGTTGCTGGATTAGAATTGGGCTTTATCAGAGTAAACTCGTGTAGTTAGGTATGTATGTATGCGCGCATGTACGTGTACACACACACACACACACACACACTCCCCAACTCTGTTCACTGAGAGAGCCTGGGAGCAGAGATGTTCCAAAAGCAATGAGCTTACTTATCGCTAAAACCTTAGCTCCTAAATACCATTTTCCACTAAGAGGAACCCAGATTCTCTGGAGAAACATGATTCCAGGGCTGGGATAGGAAAATACAAGATGAACCTGTGACGCCGGGTGCCGTGGTTCACGCCTGTAATCCCAACACTTTGGGAGGCCAAAGCAGGTGGATCATTTGAGGTCAGGAGTTCAAGACCAGTCTGGCCAATATGGTGAAACACTGTCTTTACTAAAAATACAAAACTTAGCCAGGTGTGGTGGTGGCCACCGTTAATCCCAACTACTTGGGAGGCTGAGGCAAGGCAATCACTTGAACCTGGGAGGCAGAGGTTGCAGTGAGCCAAGATTGCGCCATAGCACTCCAACCTGGGCCACAGAGTGAGATTCTGCCTCAAAAAAAAAAAAAAAAATGAGCCTGAAACTCTTGGTTGTTTCAGCCCTCAAAGGATGATAAGGAAATGTCAAAAGGATGCAGAAGCCAGCTCGACAGGGTTCCCACTGGCCAAATCAGGGACAAGTTGAGCATCAGAATTAATCACAATAGTAAAGGGTTGTAATCCATTGGATACAATGGGAAACCACAAGTTTACATTGATCGAAATTTTAAAATGAATATATATGGAAAGTTTACATAGTTTCAAAGTACCCACTTACAAAATGCTTATTAATTATAAAGGGAGGGAAAAGAGTAACTTGGCCGTGGAGAAGCCTAGCAGACACCCCTTTAATCAAGTGATCAAAGTGAACGTTGTTGGTATAGGACAAGTTGAAATCACGTGCCTCCTGATAGGATGCACTGGGCAGAACACAACATCACTTCTGTGACATTCCTGCCCAAAGTGTGTGATCTGAGCTTAATCATGAAAATACACCAGATAAGCCCAAATTGAGAGACAGCCTTCAAAATTAAGGATCAGGGTCACGAAAGTCAAGGAAAGTTGACTAACTGTTCTAAACTGAAAGAGACCAAAGAGACTTGAGAACTAGATCCAAGGCTTGATTCTGATCTAGATCCTCTTGCTATGGAGGACATGATAGGAACACCCAGTGAATCTCAGGAATGGGGTCTGCGGGTTGGATGGTGGCAGCGTGACCGTGCAAGCATCCTGAGTGTGGCAGGTGCTTTGGAAAAGGGCAGCGTACTTGAATCTGCACAGATCACCAGGGGTTCTTCTTAAGATGCAGACTCATTGAGCCTGGGTGGGGCCTGAGGCTCATGGGACCTATCCAACCAGCTCCAACTGTGCCCTTTCTGCTGGCCCAGGGATGATACTTGGAGTAACGCGGCTCTAGTGAACCTATGAAGAGTACTTTCTATTTGCCTTCCAAACACCCGCCTTCCCCTTCTTTTGATTCTAAACTCTAATTTTCCTTTGAGAACATTCTCTCCTGCCCTCTGTGCACCTGTTTTGAGTCAGATAGTCCCCAACACTCAGGCTTGAAGTATGCAACCTGGGCCTCTGCCATCCCATCCTCTGGCCACTGTGAAAGGTTCAAGGCTGGCCCTGAAACCCAGGCAGGGTCAGTGTATTCATCTGCTCTCACACTGCTATGAAGAAATACCCAAGACTGGGTAATTTATAAAGAAAAGAGGTTTAATTGACTCACAGTTCAGCATGGCTGGGGCGGTCTCAGGAAACTTAACAGTCATGGTGGGAGGCACCTCCTCACAGGGTAGCAGGAGAGAGAATGAGAGCTGAGCGAAGAGGGAAGCCCCTTATAAAACCATCAGATCTCAGCCGAACTCACTCTCAGGAGAACAGCATTGGAGAAATCACCCCTGTGATTCAATTATCTCCATCTGGTCCCGCCCTTGACATGTGGGGATTATTACAATTCAAGGTGAGATTTGGGTGAGGACGCAGAGCCAAACCATATCAGTCAGTGAAATGTAACTCTAACAAGCCTGGCTGAGTTAACACAGCCTCTGCAGACCCCATTTATCTTCTGGAGCCTTCCTGAACTCCTAAGCCTTACAGCAGCTCAGGCCTTGCCTTCTGCACTCTAACTCCAAAGGCTTCCAAGGCTTTTCTGACCCCCACGTGACTCCACCACAAAGTATCCATGTGCCCTTAGGAAAATGAATTTTTGCTTCAGTTTTCACACCTATAAAATGGGATACCACTTACCTCAAAGGATTGTCCACCTAAAGTGTTTTTGCACAGGACCTGCCACAGAGTAGATGCTCAATAAATTTTTAATTGTTCACGTTGGCTTTTGGAGCCCATGACCCCACACAAAAAGAAGGGATGGCGTCTTGCTGGTACATCTTAGGTCACTTTCTGTATTGATGGTGGCTCACCACGGAGTGTGGGGCCCCTGGAAGATGAAGCCATATCTGCTAGCTACTGTTACTGTTCCCTCCAGGTTCCAACAATTCCTGCACAGTCTAGCTACTCAATTCATTCCTAGTTTGCTCCCATCCTATATCAAGTTGCCTATATAAATGCATATCAAAAAGAAATAAATTAGCAACGTTGTAGGTGCCACCGAGTGCAGGTTTTCTCACTCCCAGTCATCGCAGTCTCCTGCCAGTGAGCAGAAATCCCTTTCGACTGTCTTTATTCTACTGCCATCCTGTGGCTGGTCTGTGCCACTGCAGCACCGTGGGCCGGATGTAGCTGAGCATCTGTAGGGTCATTGTCTTCACGGTCCCCAGGAAGGGGGTCCTGAGGAGGGAGTGCAGTTGAAGGGTCTGCTCAGGTCCCTCACCAGCGGGCAGGCGCCTGGCGTGAATCATCAGTCTTGACTTGGCTTCTGTTTGATGAACCTTAAGGACACGTAGTACAAGACCATGAAGCCACCGCTGAGGCCAATGACGATGAGGTAGATGGCGTAGAGAGGGTACGAGTTCAGCTCCATGGCACTGAGGATCTGGAGACAGACATGCAGTGGGCTTACTAGAATGATGGGCAGCCGGACGTCCAATAATTTAGAACCCGAGGCCTCCCTGCTTACTTTATCTCCTGAGACCGCGATGGTGAAGTTCCCGAGAGGCATTTTATAATTTCTTCCGCTGAACTGAATCTTCATCAGCCCTTCAAAACACCACCGCAGGAAGGACACTTTGGAAATCCACGCGGGCACTGGAAACAGAGAGCCTCGTTACTCACAGGTCTCCCTCATATTCTCACGGTTTCCCCATATTCGCATGGTCTCCCCCATACTCACACAGTCTCCCCACATTCCCATGGTCTCCTCACATTTGCATGATCTCCCCATATTTCCACGGTCTCCCACATATTCAGTCTCCCCATATTCCCATGGTCTCCCCATATTTGCATGATCTCCCCATATTCCCATGATCTCCTTTATATTGACACAGTCTCCCCCATATTCACAGTTTCCTCATATTCCCACGGTCTCCCCATATTCCCACGGTCTCCTTTATATTGACATGGTCTCCCCCATATTCACAGTCTCCTCATATTCCCACAGTCTCCCCATATTCCCACAGTCTCCCCCATATTCAGTTTCCTCATATTCTCACAGTCTCCCCATATTCCCATGGTCTCCTCATATTCCCATGGTCTCCCCATATTCCCATCGTCTCCCCATATTCCCAGTCTCCCCCATATTCACACTATTTCCTCATATTCCCATGGTCTCCCTATATTCTCATGGTCTCCCCATATTCCCACTGTCTATATTGACATGGTCTCCTGCATAGTCGCATGATCTCCCCATATTCCCACAGTCTCCCCATATTCCCATGGTCTCCCCATATTCACGTGATGTCCCCATATTCCCACAGCCTCCCACATATTCCCACAGTCTCCCCATATTCCCATGGTCTCCCTATATTCCTGCAGTCTCCCCATATTCTCACCATCTCCCCATATTCCCACAGTCTCCTCATATTCTCACGGTCTCCCCGTATTCCCATGGTCTCCTTTATATTGACACAGTCTCCTGCATATTCACACAGTCTCCCCATGTTCCCATGGTCTCCCCACATTCCCACAGTCTCTCCCACCTGCACAAGGGCACATCCCACTCTCTGAGACAGGGCCGTGGTGGCTCTGGCCCAAGTTCTCTGATGAGCAAGGAGGGGAGAGAGGCCAAGGGGCAAAAGGGCAGAGGGGCTGCTGGGGACACAGACTGGGGCTGAGGGAGCTGAGAGGCCACGGGGTCACCCACATGTTTGATCCATAGCAATTCTTGAGAGGGATTTGATGAGGCACCCCTGCATGTGCTCAGCTTCATGGACCGTGCAGGCTGAGGAGACTCAGCGGCCCCACACCAGAGACGATGGAGCCTGTGCCCTGATCCTATGGAGGTGGCATGGTATGGGGAGGGGAAGGAGGCAGTGAGCCCTGCCTGGATGCGTCGGGAAAGCCCTGGCAGAAGCGAGGCCCTGTGGAAGGTAGGGCATGACATTCCCGGAGACAGCAGCTGGGCAGGCTCAGAGGTGAGAGGGTGGGGTGTGCTGGGGGCTCCAGAAAGCTGGGGAGGCTGCAGGATTGAGCAGCCCTGGGAGGATTTGAACAAAGAGGGTTTGTTTCCATGGGTTTGCACCTTGGAAAGCTCACTCTGCATGGCTGAGTTGAGAGGGATGTGGAGGGGCCCAGGTCACAGAGACCAGGCTATGGCAGTGGCCCAGGCTTAAACGATGGCAGTCAGGGATGGGGACACAGCCAAGCAGACATTTCAGAGAAACCCAAGGCAGAATCAACCTGGCTCACAGGTGGATGTGGAGAGGGAGGGAAAGAGTCAAGGGTGACTTCTGGGTATTGACTATGGGATAGGAGGAGGTGCATCTGGAATCTCTAATGAAATCGTTCCTTTGGCCTCCAGGACAGCGGGCAAAGGCCTCTGCTTCCAGAAGGGCCAGCCTTAAGTTGGACCCAAGTAACGAGTGTCCATCTCCGGATGAAAGCAGGCTTCATCCAGCCGCATGAGGCCTAACAAAGCTAGCCCAGGCCCGGGGTGCAGGCCTCACCTGTCCACAGGCTGCTCAAGTTTATCATGTAGCCTGCGGTGAGGTAGAAGGAGTTGTAGAGGGCGTTGCTGAGGAAGGAGGCCATGTGGAAGGTGGGGAGCAGGGCCGCGGTGGCCAGGGCCATAATCCTGCAACAGAAGACCACCAGCCACACCAGCAGGAAGTGCAGCAGGAAGGGCTGGAGGCCCGGCCTCAGGTTGGCCAGCCAGTAGGTAGGCATCCCGTAGATGATGATGTAGGCACAGTGCTCCGGAAGCTCGCCGAGGATCTGCAAAGAACAGCCCTTGCAAGGATGTGAAGCCAGCACCTTCACTGCCATTATAATAAACGTTTAAAAGTATCTATGCCCTCCAGTGGCAACCTTCCCTCCTGGTGATGATGAGGCTGTGGCAGGAGGGTGTGCTGGGACCCGGTGCGCTCAGTGCTGGCTTCCCCCTTGCAGATGCCAAGCGTTCCCTCTAGGGCAGTTCAGCCTGTTTCCCCCAGGGCAGCACTGGGCACCTGCTGTCCTAAGACCTGGTTTCAAGTCCCTACTCCCCCTGACCAGACAAGTAGCTCTGTGGCCTTGGAGAGCCGAGCAGCCTCTCCGAACCTCTGCTTCCTGGAAACGCCTGCCTGGCCGCTCGGGGCCACAGTGAGGCTCCGAAGAGGTAAAATACAAAGAGGATTTCTTTTTTTTAGACTCCTTCTGACCAGAAAACTATCATTCCTGGTCCACAGTCCTGGTGTTTTGGTAAATGTTTAAAAGTTCAAGTCTCCGAAACTCCCCTAGAAAATGTGACATCTGGTGGCATCTGCGACTTCACATGACCCATAGCCCCATGGTTCAGAAAAGGCTTCCTGGTGGCAGTGTTTTCTCCACACTTACGCCCACCCTGGTGGGCGGGGGGCACTTGCTCTCAACCCTGCCCAGTCACCTTGGCAAAGAAATATGGACTAGTGGTGTACAGCCCGTCTTCCAGTTCATAGTAAAGCATTGCCCTCTCCGAGTAACCTAAAAAATAAGGGAAAGGAAAAGAGAATGAAAAAGTAGAATAAATCTACAGTGTTTCTGTTTTGGAGATTCTCTTAATACAATTCAAAGCAGTTATCATATTGCCCAAGTCTCTTAGGTTTTTTAAAAAAATAGGCACAGTAAAGCCATCCTAATTTAGATGTCTGATGAGGCTCTCTAGGTTTTGCAAGTCTGTAGCTCGTGTTCTGCTGTCAAATATAAATCCTGCTAGGATAGGAACAGCTAAGACTCAGTAATTTGCTTTCATTTGCATACTAACATTAACATGCAAACTTTAAAAACATTATTGTCTTGTATATCATAATCACAATGAAATCAAACCCAGAGCTCAGAGGAACACAGCTCAGAGGTGGCTGAGGTCCTGCGTGGCCACGCCAGTGGCCACACTCACATTTGGAGATGACATCCAGAATGACATTGAAAGGGATGAGAGCGCCGATCATGAACAAGAGGGCGGCTGTATCCATGAAGGAGAGCTGGATGTTCCCGTGGCCAAAATAGAGGAAACCGATGGTCAGAGACATCAGACAGGCCTCTGCCCCGTGGATGAGGAGGGTGGGCAGGTCTCGGAAGTCGTTGGAAATCTGACGACTTAAAAACCAAAAGGAAGAGATGCTCAGGCAACAACATACACCAGCCCTGTGACCTTGGGAATGTCACAGTCTCCGTACGCCTCGTTTTTCTCGTATGCAAAATGGGGACGGTAATACCTGCCTCCTAGAGCTGCTCTGAGGATTAAATCAGAAAACTGATGGCAGCATCTGTCCCACTGTAGGTACTCAATAAATGGTTGTTACTTTTATCATAATGTATCAGCTTGGCAATGTTAAAGAAATGATCCCCAGGAAAAAATCAATTCAGTCTGTGAAGATGTACAGATAGGCTGGGCATGGTGGCTCACGCTTGTAATCCCAGCATTTTGGGAGGCTGAGGCAGGTGGATCACTTGAGGCCAGGAGATCAAGACCAGCCTGGCCAATGTGAAGAAACTCCATCTCTAAAACACACAAAAAATTAGTCGGGCATGGTGGCGCACACCTGTAATCCCACCTACTTGGGAGGCTGAGGCAGGAGAATCACTTGAACCTGGGAGGTGGAGGCTGCAGTGAGCCGAGATCACCCTAGTGCACTCCAGCCTGGGTGACAGAGATAGACTCTATGTTTAAAAAAAAAAAAAAAAGGTGTGTGCTCAATGATGTCTGCTGCCTCATTGCTTGTAGTAGTAAAAGCTGGAAGATAATCTGGCCATCAAGATGGACTTAACGGGTGGGTGATTATGGCTACACTGACGGGAATGCCGAGGAAGACCCAATCAGACAAGAGGTAGAGGCGCTGCCCCCACTGAAAAGAAACCACCTATAAACCAGCATGCAGAGTATGATCCCACTACGTTTAAAAACACGTGTGTGCATGGAAACATCAGGAAAGACACACGCCACACAGTGCCGTCTGGTTTTCTTTGAGGGCTGGTGTGACTGGGACTTCCCTTTTTACTAGAGATTCTCTCCTATTATCTACATTTTTCTCAATGACCCTATGCTATTTATACGATCTTCCAGCTGGTGAGGTTATCTTAATTTTGTTTAAAGAATAAAAGCAATAGGGGTGTTCTGTGTCCCTTGAAGATTAGTGCTGGTCCCAATAATGCTGTTTTCTTTTTTTTTTTTTTTTTGAGATGGGGTCTTGCTGTGCTGCCCAGGCTGGAGTGAAGATGCAATCACAGCTCAGTGCAGCCTCCACCTCCAGGAATCAAGCAATCCTCCCACCTCAGCCTACCAGGTAGGCCACGCCACCATAACCGGCTAATTTTTGTACTTTTTTGTAGAGACGGGCTTTCACCATGTTGCCAGGCTGGTCTCGAACTCCTGAACTTAAGTGATCCACCTGCCACAGCCTCCCAGAGTGCTGGGATTACAGGCATAAGCCACCACGCCCCGCTGGATGCTGTTTTTTCAAATAACTCTATCTTTCATTTTCTCCTTTAAATTCACTTAAATAGAAAAGGCTTAATGTGATATACAAAGACTTGGTGGGGGCGGGGGTCAGTAATAAAAAGACAGATAATTACCGGATCAGCGTGGTAAACTGCTGCACCGCCCCAGGCATCTTCGTAGGACTTGAGAGGCAGTTGGTGTCTAGTGGGGTCAGGCTGCTGGGAGGCAGAAGATGTGGCCAGGTCATGGGGGCAGCCACCTTCTGCAGGGAGCTCTCCTCTCAGAGCCGCCCGCCAGATTACCTTTCCACACAGGTGTCCTCATCAAGATCCTTCGTCTCTGCTTTCCACAGGAAGTCATCTAAGTCACGCACTTTTTCTAGAAACAGGGCTGCAAGTGACTGAGCCTTCTCCCTGGTGGCCACTTCCTGCTCTCTGCTGCGCCTGTCAATGCCGGTCAGGTCCACTGCAAGCAGGGGATGTGGAGTCATGGGTGGCCTGTTCCCTGGCACCTGCTCCCAGGTGAGGAGCTTGGTGCACGCCCAGCTCACAATGCTGATCACCCCTCGTGGGGCTCTGGGACATGCTCTCCACCTTCAGCCAAGAAGCAAGGGGCAGAGCAGAGGGAGGCAGAGGGACCCCAAGGGCTGGGCCTTCACCCTGCCAGGCCTGACCACATCTGCAGAAGCCTCAGGGGAAGGGCAGTGGATCAAAAAATGGGCAACAGTAGAGGCCCCACCCAAGTGTTACTACCCAGGCTCATTTTGAGGATATCTTAGGACAGAGCAAGAGCCTTCAGAGCCAAGGGCCACATCACAGTCAGGCTCTGGTTCCAACTCTAGCTGTCCAGGAAGCTTTTGATGAGGACCCAGTGCCCCTCCAAGGGGAGAAGTTGGGCTGGTAAAGGGGAGGCTGAGTAGTTGGGTTCACAGTTAGTGAGAGTTCTATCCAGAGAGTGAGACTTCTATCCAGGTAGACAGTGACAGTTCTATACAGAGAGATCGTGAGAGTTCTAGCCAGATAGTGAGAGTTCTATCCAGATGGTGAGATTTCTACCCAGATAGATAGTGAGAGTTCTATCCAGATGGGGAAAATTCTATCAGAGAGTGAGAGTTCTATCCAGATGGTGAGAGTTCTATCCAGATGGTGAGAGTTCTATCCGGAGAGTGAGAGTTCAAGCCAGATGGTGAGAGTTCTATCCAGATAGATACTGAGAGTTCTATACAGATAGATAATGAGAGTTCTATCCAGACAGAGAGTGAGAGTTCTATCCAGAGATGAGAGTTCTATCCAGAGAGTGAGACTTCTATCCAGGTAGATAGTGACAGTTCTATCCAGAGAGTGAGAGTTCTATCCAGACAGTGAGAGTTCTATCCAGATAGTGAGAGTTCTATCCAGATAGTGAGAGTTCTATCCAGATAGTGAGAGTTCTATTCAGAGAATGAGAGTTCTATCCAGATGGTGAGACTTCTATCCAGGTAGATAGTGACAGTTGTATACAGATAGATCGTGAGAGATCTATCCAGAGAGTGAGAATTCTATCCAGATGGTGAGAGATCTATCGAGATTGATAGTGAAAGTTCTATCCAGATGGGGAAAATTCTATCCCGATAGTGAGAG